TAGGTGATGCTCATATATTGCTGAAAGGCCAACTTTTGACTGGTACTGCAAAGACCCCAATTAAGCACAGAGCAAACAAACACTAACAGTAACTTAAATACATAGTGCATTGAGTTAGGGGTGGGACTTTCCTCAAATGGATATTTTTTCTTCTGCTGTAACAATAGCTGTTTTCTCTCATGTTTATTGTAACAAGCTTGGATGTATGACTGGCTAAATATATATTCAGTCAAACAGAAGAAAACACAAAAACTAAATAACAGACAGTGTTAAAATTGTTTTGCTTGACCAGCATGGCATCCATTCCCCAGTTTTTTTTCCTGCACAGTTAATGTTAAGATAATTAAAATGACATTAACTGTGAGAAAGCTGCTGTTTTGTTGTGCATGCTGAATACGCTTGTTTAAATCCATCTCCTTTGTTTTAAATGTTCAAATACGATAGTTAAGAATAAAGCAGGAAGCAAGGATATTCCTCTAATACCATTACCTTTCATCAGGGGACAATGGCAGATGCACTTACGCCGCAGAAGTTGGTATTACACAACAGCGGCTGTGTTTATGCAGGTCTCTTACTGCAGGCTGAAAATGCGCCTGTATTAAGCCGTTCTTCTTGCTTATACCACCTATATAATATGCAGATGCAAGTGCGGAAAGAAATTAAAGGGATACGTGAAACACTAAAGGCTGCCCGAGCTCTACCAATCTTGCAGTCCAAACATTAACAGCACATCGATGCTGAACGATTATGTAAAAACATGCATTATGTTTCAAGCCGCTGTTTTTAAATGAGTCATTTCAGTGCTGTGTGTACAATGTCATAATTGTTGTTTTGTTTGAAGCGGGTGAGCTGAATTGGATGAGGAGTGATGTGGAGTTCTTATATCACTTTGACCTTTGATTTGAACTCTTCAGACCAGAGTGTCCATTCTGTTTCTTTTCTGCTATGTGACTCTTAAGAACACAAGTTCAGCTATCTTACTAAATCTTGATCAGAACCTGGACTTTATTTATTTCATGGTTTTTAGTCATATGCAAGTGTTCAGCTTACATAAATACAGAAATACAGTATACAAGGAAAGAACAGAGTTTTATGTTTCTTGAGCCCAGTACCTTACCTTCGCCTGATATTTCCTCATTCCATATTACACTGATAGCACTTACCCAAACAAGTCTTTAATGGAAAGTTTAAACTAGTTTAGAGCTACTTCAGTTTCACTTGCATCCAGTTCTCCACTTCCAGTACCGCGCTAATGTAAGGTGCTAATAAATGGAAAGAGACTTGGCGACAGCCATCTGCCAAGTTAAGCAGTGGACAATGCAGCTGAGAATAAACAGCTATAAAATACTATACTGCGAAAAAGTCTTAAGGCACCTCCCATTTCTTTATATTTGGCTTGGAAATTTGGAGAGTGGGCACAAGGGTCTAAAGTTAACATTTGCTGTGACCACCTTTATTCTTCAACACAGCATGAACTCTGTTGGGCAAGCTTGCTGTTTCTAAATTTTTGAAGTGGTCTTCAGGAATAGTCCTCCAGGCTTCTTGAAAGACATTTTTTGTCTGCCTTTTGTTCTGTTCTCTGTCAAGATGATCCCACACTGCTTCAGTAATGTTGATGTCTGGGCTCTGGTGAGACCAATCCATGACTGATAGTGTTCCCCTGTCTGTTTTCACTAGGTAGTTATGCTTTTGCTCCATTGGCAATGTGTCACAAGCTTTCCAGATGGTATTCCATGATGGATCAAGATTTGACAGTACCTTATTGTGTTATACTTCCATCCATTCCCCAAATCATGACAGAGCCTCTACTGTTTTTTGCAGATAGCCATAGACACTCATTGTTGTACCTGTCTCTTGACCCTTTCTGTACATAGTGATGATAGTTTAAGCTAAAACATTTCAAAGTGGAATTCATCACTCTATAAAGGTCTATGTAATTTGCAACCAATGGATCTGTAAGACCCGTTAAAGTTAATCTCAACTGAACTAAACTGAAGGACTGGATGAATATATATACTCGATATTGTGTAGCTGGATATTTTTCCTCCAACTCGCCAGTTTCCTCAGCTTTTTTAAGCACACACTGCTCACCTTGTGCAAAATTATTGAATAGTAGCTCCATTAGAATCACCTCATTAATAAACATTAACAAAGAAAAAAACACATTCCTCTGCCAATGTCCAAAGAACGACTTTGAGAGATTTTCAGAAAGCCTGGAGAACTTTTGCTCAAACTACAGTGTATAAAGAAATAAGGAGTGGCTCAAGAGTTTTGCACAGTACTCTATATTGATTATCCTGAGGTCTATAGCCTACAGTGTTACGGTGCCCTCATGAATATTCAATCCCTTCAAACCACTGCTGTTCAGATTTTTCAGCTTCCTACTGTGTGCGGCTGAATGGACTCACTGTAGTACATGGGTATTAAGCACATCACTCATGGCCGTTGCAGGGAGGAAAAAAGTCCAGATTTTTCCATCTGGTCTCCTGCTTGATGTTTTATTCATCTGAATGACCCTGTTTCCTGATCTATGATCTTAAGAGACTCAGCCACACACACACCAATGATACCACCCTCCCACATGCTTATACGCAATTTATCAGTGAAACATAAATTTGAAGATCACCTTAAACATTAGATGAACCATGCGGCTTGTAAATAAACACTCGATATCTCCTTTACATACCTCACATACTCTGACTTCCAAAACATTTGCTCAAACCCATCCTGATTCCAGCCTCTGTCTGAGTCTCTGTCTGTGTCCTTCACTATGGCTCACTGTCATTTTCATATCTTATTGAAGGACTGTCCTTACTCTTTCAGTGAGGTGCTGTTGTGCTATTAGCGAGGCGTACACAGACACTGACATCTTGAGGGAGCAACAAGGTGAGGAAAATCTCCGGCTGATGGATGTAATTTTCCATGATCACCTCTTCTGTCCTTTGAGTTCTTCTTTGTGAATATGTCCTCCATTTACCCTCTCAAACTCATATTCTGTTTATTTTTCTGTGCTCGTTGGTACATTGTCAGCATAGATGCACAATTCAGGAGAGTTAGAGCATATATATCCCAATAATAGAAATGCAGACAGTGACATATATTCTAGACAGGTGAGTTTTTCCACACCACACACATAATAGGTAAACATGTTTGCATCTGGTTCCGTGGACAACTCACTCACCAGTTCATCTGGACTCCGATGATGGCGTGAGGAAATTGGCATGCCAGGTAAAAGGCATTGATCTTTTCATACGATACAGGGTTGTGCTGTAAGATTTTTGGTCATGACATTCACACGATGTCCAGCTTTTTTATTGTTAAACTGTGCTGTTATTTGGTGTGCACTTTTTTTTTTATTTTTTTATATTTTTTTGTGTGTTTTTTTTTTTTTTTTTTTTTTTTTTTTTTTTTTTTTTTTTTTTTTTTTTTTTTTATAATTTTTTTTTTTTTTTTTTTTTTCTTTTTTTTTTTTTTTTTCTTTTTCTTCATTCTGTCTATTTATTTAGGACAAATGACTGATCTGCATCACGTATGTCGCATACTGCTGTTCTGATGTCATTAAAAAAAGTTGGGATTGGTACAATACATGATCCAAATATTGGATTGGAGCATTCCTCGACTTCCTGACGGCCTGAAAAACTTGATTCCAGGTTATGATTTAAGTCAAAAGCTCTAACATTGTTATTATGTGCTTTAGCTGACTGACTTGCAATGTAATCAATAATCACGTTGTCATGTTTTGGTTGGCAATGTACAGTCCCAATCAAAAGTTTGAGACCACTTGAAAAATGGCAAAAAACGTATTTTGCATAGTTGGATCTTAACAAGGTTCCAAGTAGAGCTTCAACATGCAACAAGAAGAAATGGGAGTGAAGCAAAACATTTTTTTGAGCAATTTGTTGAAAACAACGCTTTATTTAAAAGTTTAGGACCACACCTCCAAAAAACCCTGTAAACCCTGTAAATGAAAACATCTCAGGTGGGATCTGCTTGTCATGCCAGTAACGTTGGAAACCATCAGGACCATCAAGATTAAATTTTTTTTCTCATCAGAGAATAAAACTTCCTTCCACCTTTCAGTGTCCCATGTTTGGTGCTCTCTTGCAAAGTCCAAACGGTCAGTTCTGTGGCTTTCAAGGAGACCTTTGAAGACGTTTTTTGGTTTTGAAGCCCTTCAGTCTCAGATGCTGTCTGATGGTTATGGAGTTGCAGTCGACACCATTAACGGTCGTAATTTGGGTCGAGGATTTCCAATGTCTTGACGGACTGCCAATTGGTTCCTCAGTTCTGGTGAAATCTTTTTGGGTCTTTTACTTGACTTGTTTGTTCCATAACCCCCAGGATCATTTAAGAAATTCCAAATGACTGTCTTACTACTTCCCACCCCATTACCAATGGCGTCCTGCGAGAGACCCTGTTTATGCAGTTCAACAACCTGACAACGTTAAAAACGAAATGTTTTTTGTGCTTTTGCCATCAGAACATCATGACAATGTGAGTACCTGACAGAAATGATGATGAAACCACGTTTTTTTCACAGATTTGACCTTTTACAAGCATGTGGTTCTAAGTGTTTTACCAACTGGAAAACAACTTGTTTCAGTTTAAGCTTTGTTTTCAATAACTTGCATGGTCAAATAATTGTTTTGTCTCACTCCCATTTCTTCTTGTTGCATGTTGAAGCTCTACTTGGAACCTTGTTAAGATTAACCATGCAAAATATGATATTTTTTGCCATTTTTTTTAAGTGTTCTAAAACTTCTTATTGGGACTGCATTACTGCAGGATAGTATTCTGTGGTTTCCATGCATGCATGTATCTGTAAGAAGTAGAAAGATGAGGTGATCTATAATCAATGTTAGGTCTTCTTCTCTCTCCTTCTAAAATATATATCAATTGAATGCATTCTATATTGTGTGTGTGTTTGTGTATAAACTGCAAATGTTGACTTTTGAATTTCATCGCTAAGCAATATGTTTAATTTTTTTTCTCATGCAACCATGTGTTTTCAGTATTCAGTCACTGCTCTAGGTTTAATCTGGACATTCATTCTGCTGTTGCTGGAGACTTTTTGAACTGAACATGTATAGTCCACCAGTGGATCTTTCTTTTAAAAATCTCAGCAATGTTGCAGGTAGTATATTTTTAAAAATCCTGAAATATAAAGTAGATAATGAAATAGTGTTTACTTTTAAATATATTTCTTCCATTAATAATTATTTAAGTGCTCCTGGGGGGTGAGCTTTTTGGTAGGAAGTATTTTCTAGGACAGCACTTGCTCTTACAAAACCACCTAATTATAGTTAGTGTATCAACTGCTGTTATCAAAATGCATGAATTTAAATACTGCAATGTTTACACACTAGCATAATCTAGTCACACAAACTTGTAACTTATTGTTTTTAAAGCATTTTAAAATAAAATACTTTAAATCACTTCTTATTTCTACAGTATAAAATTCTGTGAACATGACTGCAGTAATCACTTTAATAGAGCGGCTTTAAGCAGCAGAAATAAAACCGCATATAAACAAGTACCAAAGCTGCCCGTATGATGTATCAAGTCTCATTATGTTATTTTTGGTTCAGGTGCATTGGCAGAGCTGCCCCGAAGTCTGCTCCGCCCTTTAACCACAAACTCAAAGGGGAAGTACCTGAGCTGCTCTCTGCGTCTCAGTAATAACAGCCTCACCGACGTTGTTGGCCTCCAGTACACGATCAACCACTTTTTTGCACAACCATCAAAGCTTGGATGGTTGGATCTGTCCTTCAACAAAATCACCTGCATAGAACCTGTAAGAATCATTTTTGTTCTTCTAATAGCTCATTTTCAGTTTTCTATGTCTTCTTCTGAAATTAGCCCCTGTCTTTGATGTATAATTACACACGTCTTATACAAAACATTTGTTCTCCCTGTTTATTTATGAAATGTTTATAATCTACATTTGTTTCCCCAAAATGCAATAAATTCTGATATCTTCGCAAGCTAACCAGCATTTTATTGATTTAAATTTACAACTAAGCCCTGTTACAGGTTTTGTGTGAGCTGAAAGAACTGCGTGTGCTGTATCTTCATGGCAACAGCATCTGGAACCTGTCAGAAGTGGACAAGCTGAGAGAGCTCCAGCATCTGCACACAATCACATTGCATGGCAATCTCATAGAAACAAGCAAAGGCTACAGGTGCAAGCTCATTTTCAGCAATTTCACTTAAGACAGACATTCTGTTCTCAGAGCTGATCTGAAGTTGCAGTGTGTGGAGTTATACACAGGCTGGTTCTAGATTGGTTGTAGATAGTTGATAGCAAGAGGCTAGGCCAGAAGCAGAGAAGAAGAAAAGCAAAAAAAAAAAAAAGAATTAGAAAGAAAAAAATACCCCGACAAAACCTGCTTCATAGATTCATAGATCGTGCGGCATGTTGAGGATAACTCATATGTTGAGTCTAACTTGACAGTTGTTTCAGGGGGCTATGTTTTTTTAATGGGAAATCACAGGTGTGTAAGAGGGAATATTTGATCAGAAATGTAATAACTATTTTAGCAAAGTGGCAAAACAAGAGCTAAAATATTCTTCCTATTAAAGTACAGAATTTACCTAAAGTAGGTAAAGTTAAACTTCCTTTTTATGAAAAATGTCATTAACTGAATATATGTAGTACTGTACCAAGTACCATAATATTCTAGTTTAAACAGTATTTGTAATAACTAATGCACTGAATCTAATCATATATCTTTTGCAACACCTACAGATATAGACAGAGAAATGTCACATTGAGATATGTGATACCTCTGATACCTGCTTATGTCTACATTAGATGTGTCAGGTTATTAGGTTCAATATCTCAGGGATATAGCTTCTTGATTTAATTTTCATCTCACTTCATACTCTCATTTATGTGAAAAATCAGCAAAGTCTGCTTCACAAAGACTTAGACATATCGTCCTTATTTAAAATCAAATGTTAATGCTGATATGAATTTTCATATATGGAAGCACTCAACATGTCCACGGAGCCCTTGGAGTCAAAGCTGACTTTGACGTGTGTGCCTTTTTGTGTGTTTAGGAATTACGTGATTTCTGTATTGCCTCAGCTGAAGACGATGGACTTCAGCGGTGTGACACGAGATGAGCGGGTCATGGCAGATATCTGGCGTTCTCACGGCACCAAAAAAAACCCCCGAGACCATTAAGTGTTTCTGCTGAATAAAAATGGTTGTCCTCTCGTCACCAGCCTGTTTTGTTTTTTTCTCAATTCCCTGCGTCAGATCTTGGTATCCATGTTATTTACAGCTGAGCTAATATCCTGTGAGCATTCTCATTTTTGACCTATGGGCTGTGGCTATGGTCACCCATCTTCCTGCTTGATTACTGCAGTAGTAATTAGGAGGTAATCAGACTCTCGGTGGCCATCGTCACGACATGATGTCACAAACGGCGCACTACTTGTACAAATCTGAACATGCTGATGTGGCCCAGGGGTTATCGGTTGAAGTTAGAATCACTGTGACAGCTCAGACAATGTGAAGGACCTTGCGTAAAGTCAACTTCAGTGAACTGCGGTTGAACTGTGAAATACAGTTGCTTCCTCTTTTGGGATATTTCATATTGGGAGCACATTCTGTGATTAGACGAGTGTAAAATGAATTTGTTCAACTCAGAAGGGATCCAGCACATTTGGCATGACCCTCGATGGGAATACCTCAGTGAAAACATAGTCCTGACTCCCACCAGTTAAGCTAGAAGATGGGACTGTGATGATATGGGTCTGCATGACGAGTGTTGGGGATATGATATTATAGAGGGCACTTTGAATGCCCAGGGACATACAACACTTTACTGCCCCATGTCCAGAGGTCTATTGGAACAACAATATTCCTACTTGATCACAATCAAAATCACGCTGCTAAAATCACGCAAGAATTAAAAAATAAATCCAAACAATTACCTGACAAAGGAACATTTAAAATGTATAGTTGCAGCTTGTAATCACACCCACCTATATAGCAAATGTGACTTCATTAAATATACATACACATAAGCAAGCTTGAGTCTCTGGTATTGCCATCTGGTCTCGTTAGGGAAGAAATGTGCACCATTTATTAGTTTCTAGGCTGATTTAACTGGCTGTCCTCCAGGCTCTTTTTTGGTATAGATTCATCATTTTCTCTGAAAAACTTTAACTAGTGTGAATTAAATATGCCTGTATCAGCAAACACACCACACGACACAAAAACGGACCAATAAAACCAACACAAATGATATCATCTAAGTTCACATCAAGACTTTGAGGTGCATAACACCTAAACTGATACTTTCCTAAGGGTTTTCTAAACGGAAGTATTTAGGCCCCTGTTTCCTTTGAAACCTGCACTTACATGGTTCTTTTGAAACAGCGTTTAGACCATGTGTCAAACTGTGCAGTGAAGCCAGAATCAATGAATATCTTTCAGTCACGATGGCAGCTGCTCTCAGCAGGATGGCCCGCTTTGTACAGTGCTTGAGGAAACACTTGCATGCACTTTGCAGATTTTGACGACTAGCTATTGCACATCGACTTCCCTTTTTTTTGACATTTCGCATGTCGAAAGCTGTAGTGAAATACAATAAACATGTCCCATAAGTCGTCACAGCCATTGTTCGCATTTTTAGAAGCTATGGTCAGTCGGCATAGACGTCTGTCCTGCCCATTTGGTAGAATACACAGTATTCCATTGTACTCTATGAATTCAGAATGGAAAGCGTTAGCTACTCTTGTCATGTTCTCTTTGCTGCAGATGGGAATGGCAGTCAAAGTTTGTTATTTATTAATGATTGTGCAAAAAAAGAATTATAGAAAGCATTAGTGCAAATGTATTAATAAATAACATCCACACTATGAATCTGAAAAACAACATTAGGAAGGGTTGATACAGAAATGAGTGTGGGATCATTTCCTCACGGACATTTTCAGCTGTCACAAAAAGGAGAGCTGTTGTACACTTTTATGGAGAATGGTAGAACTGATATCCTGAAACGTTCTTTGTGTCAGCGGGGTTAAATAAATCTGAGGGAGATGGGGCTCTGCTGCCTCGATAGTGTGGAATGGAGCAGGTGACGTGGGTTGTCTGCAGTTTTTCTTGTATTCAGTGACCTCCTGTTTCTCTCTGACTCCACATTCTGATTCTGGACAGTGATGGTTCCAACCTTGTGGATTATTTTGTTGATCCTTCTGGCATTGATGCTGCCCTCTACCCTCACCCCCACCACTTTGCAGAGAGCAGAAAAGTAGATGACCCTCGCTATCACAGACTGGTAGAGGATCTCCAGCATCTTGCTGCACAGATTGAAGGATCTGAACTTCTTCAGTAAGTAAGGAGTCTGTTTATCCCTTCTTGTACACGTCTTCACTGTCGGTCCTCTGGTCCAATCTGTCATTCAATTGATCACCCAAGTAGCTGTAGCCATGCATCAAATGTCTTTATGTAGTTTTTCTTTCTTTCTTTTCTTACCTTGTTAAGACGTCTGACACAGAGACCTAGCAACATTACTCACTAGAAAAAAGTGTATACCGTTGTAGTAAATAGTTCACAGGTATTTAAAGACAAGTCTTCCACAATGGCAGCTACAACTACAATATGCTAGCAATCAAGGCAACTGCATGGTGATTTTCAACATGGCACTGCACCTCTTTGAGATCAGTTTCACCTTGCAACAGCAAGAAATCACCCACAAAAATGTGTCTGGGAAAACAAATTTTTACTTGGCGGTTACCAGGAGGGTCACTGACTGGTGTTACTGTGTTACAGGCATTCTTGAGCAATCAGTTTCACAGGAACTGTCAGCAACCACTCGCAGCCAATGAGGGAATTATCTTGTTTCCCGAGCAACTAGTGGGTGGTTCCCAGGCCTGCCTCTTGGCCTAACTGAAAAGATCCTAAAACTGGATCTTTTTTTTTTCTGAACAATATCGCAGAGCCAGGTGTATCAAGACATTCACATAGACTCATGCTTGAGTCTATCTGGTTTTCTGTAATTCAAAACTGCATGTGTGCCATGACAGGATGACAGCTTTATGGTGGAAAGATTAGCCAAAAAACTGTCTGGCAAACACCTAATATCAGGAAATTGAAAAGAAAAATAGCTATAGCAAATACACAGGATCTTAAATTAAGTGGGGTTTTCCACTTGTCAATCTCTGATCTGCATGAAGTACATGGCCACCTGCAGAAACCGCATCCGTCCATCACTGTCCAATCTAAGCGCTCTGTGTGGTCAATCTCACCGCAGCCACACATTCACATTGTGAGATAAAAAGCTCTATCTTCTGCACTCCTGTGTGAGGAAACTATCAAAGTCAAAGCTATCATCCCTAAAAGGACCTAACAGAAGTGCACCTAGCACCATGTGGCTTTGATGTGGTCTGAGCAGGCAGGTGACATGCACAAATCCCAGTAATCCGCGACACTAAAACTGTACTGCACCGCTTGATCGTCAGTGACACACTCCCCACTGTGCCTTTCCTCCCACTAGGTGCTGTTGTTCCCTGCTCCCATCAGGAGAAGTGACATCACTAAGGGACGTACTGTGCTTCAACGGATTGTTTTTGTCAAGTCTGAAAGCTCAAGCTAAAACAGACAGTTATATTTTCAGGTGGGGATAAGTGGTGGTGGAGGGTTTGAAGAGTGAGCTGCAGCGTGGGATTCATAAAAGACAGAGTCCAGAGAGCGTTATTTTATAAGCCCAGATGTGTTTAATAAATCATTTTCCCCCAGACCTAATTAAACACTTACTGCCTAGCCCTGTTAAGCCATTAACATCTGCTCTGCCAAATGAACCAGGAAGAGCTCCAGCACGAGATGAATTTAATGGTGGCAGGAAGAATAAATATAGTGTTCTCTTTCATGTTGCTCCTCTTTTTCTATTTTCTCTCCCCCTTTCTGTGTGGTAATATCTTGCTGTCTGACGTGGTAATTGCCTCAGCATATGCCGCATATATTGCTTAACATTTTTTGAGATTATTTAGATGGAAAATAATGCTGTTTCTGTTATAGAAGTGGATATAGGTTGTAGGAAATATGGGTAATTTTGTTTCATCTGTGTGTCTAAGGGATTCTTTAATAAAGCAATAATCCAAAATAGTTTGTGAGGCTTCTGTTTTGACTTCCTGTTTTATTTTGAAAATCAGCCGTACACGCAGTTCCATTTCTCACCTTTGTTCTATTTTCTGCCCTTTTCTTGTGCCAGTTAATCAATCACCTGCCTACTACTCCCCTGTTGTCCAGTTCCCCTCTCTCTCTGTTCAACGTAGCTGTTGAGCTTTCAGGCCGTCTTCTCATTGTTTGTTCTGTTTACTTGTGTCCCCTTTTTTTCCCCCCTGTTTTACTGTTAGAGAGTAAAAACCAAAGATTTAGCTCTGTGTTGGAAAAATTAAGCCAATGTGTAAGTACCTAAAAACCTGAATTCTCTCTGATAACCACCAGATAAAAATAGCTGTGGTTGCTAAAGGAATTCCAGTTCTAGAGAAGATGATGGAAAACCAGCTTTCTGTCTTTACCTCCGCAAACACTTTCCTATTGAATTTATGGGTCACTGTTGCCATTTGGGTCATTGAATACTAAAATGAGAAAAAAATAAATGGTCTTTTGGTCATACCATGATTCAGAGTTGACAATTATCTTTCAAACTACATGCTCATTGGCCAACGACTTCATTCATCACAAGTCAAACAGTCATTTCAAGGCTTCAGAATCAAATTTAAGGTTGGTGACGTCATGGTAACCACCTCCAAGTTTTATATTGTCTGTGGTTTCTGATAGACTTCCTCGTGTATAGACTTAGTAAGTTTATCATCTGTACCTCTTCCCTACCTCTTGTTGGGACTGTTTATCTAACAAAGTCCCTGTGCGTGACCCCGGTCTGTTTTGGATTAAAGACTTAAATTTGAGACTTCTCCCACTCTGCTGTGTCAGTCATAGATAATGAAATGCTGTCTGTCTCACAAAATGGTCGATTTTATTAACATATAACACATATCCATCATTAGAATGCATATTTATATGTCTTATTCTGCAAAACCCTATGTGAAGTCTTTCGATATAGAATATTATGAATATAGTGACATTTGAGTTCAGGCCACAAAATCAAGCTTGGCCTTAATAACAACAAATCAACAGGTGCTCTTCTAGAAATGTCATATATGCAGTTGCAAGCCACTTTGCAACCCAGCTCCCCCTGACATGCTGTGTCTG